ATTGTTTATTAATAATTTTATATTATTTCCCACATGAATGAATGGCAAAATATGGAAGAAAGTAAATGGGTGCATTTGAGGACAAAAGTTCACTATCTGCCCATTTTTTTCTCTTCTCCCCTAGCTGCATAATGTCTCTGAAAACAGTGTCTCGTACCAAATGCAAACGAACTGTGAAAAAGACTATGAATTGGAGGTGGGGATCAGCATTTACTGTCAGAAAGTCTAATCAGAATCTACTTTCCTGTTATCTGAATCCAATGGTTTGGGTCCTAGCCTCTGAAGAAGCAAAAAACAAGCTTGTTCCATCTTCCATGTGACAGCCTTTTAGATATTTGAAGATGACTATCATACCACCTTTCAGTCTTTTCTTTTCCTTTCCAGGCTAAACATACTCAGCTCCCTCCATTGTTCCTTGTACACCTGGTTTCCAGACATCTTGGTCACCCTAATATGAACACCTTCCAGCTTTTCAATATCCTTCATAAACTGTGTCACCCAGAACTGGACCAACTGGTCTGACCAAGGCAGAACAGAGTGGTACTATTACTTCCCTTGATTGGGACACTATACTTTTGTTAATGCAGCCTAGAATTGCATTAGCTTCTTTTTGCTGCTGCATCACACCATTGACTCATGTTCAGCTTGTGGTCTACTAACACCCCCCTAGATTTTACATGACTTTTCTATGGCCAACTATAAGTGAGGTGAAAAATGTGTCACTTCAATCATTGCAATAGAAATTAAGGGAAATACTGTCATGGAATAATCATGTGCTCAGCCTAATATTGGTTTTATGTAGCTGAAGTATAAGCAATAAAGAACGTTCATCAAAAGGAAAGGAGAATGGTTGCAGTCCTGTACCTACTGACTTGGGGCTAAGTCCCATTGAATTCAGTGAAACTTGCTTCTGAATAGATATGTGTAGGATTGTGCTATTAATTGCCTTAAGAGTGACAACTTTTGAGAAGTATTAAATATATTCAAAGAAGATAAGTTGACAAGTTAAGGCTATCCCTTGCCTATTCAATTCCTGAATGCATTTTTCAACCTTTGTGAAGTGAACCATCTTTTAGCATAATTATTTTTTCATCTACTATATAAAATAGCAAAGGCTTCCAGTGCAAAGTGGGAAAGGTGATAGCTGTTGAATTACTGAAAAAAAATCTTCGATTTTAAGCATTTGAAAATGACTAGATTTTTTTATTGTCAGATAGAGGCCTTGATATGGAAAGGGATTTCAGTGAATTAAGTACTGTAGGGTTTTTAATCTGTTACAGTGAAATGTCACTTTTGCATAGCATGTATCCTACCTTTTATTTTATTTTTATTTATTTATTTATTTTAAAAACCCCTTTGGTACTATATCATGATCACCTAGACGAGTTCCAATCTGAAGAAACCTGGATTAATAGGTTAGTTTGTATGAGGGGCTCATTTGTTTTGCTGTAGATAGTAATCAATAATGAGAACCCTGGGAGTATTTCTGGAATCATTTTATTGTAAGTGAAGCTTTTGTTGAAAATTAATGAATGTAGGGCACCTTGTTACTTTGGAATGCCCTGTTAAACTGGCTTTGCAACCAAGTGCTTACTGAGTCATGTTATTAACTCATATAATTCCAGTTAAAACTGAGTTTTGTTGCATTTTGATTTTCTGAAGGGAAAAAAAAGAAAATCTTCATAAAAATTATATTTACAAGTGGAGAATTATATTTGTATTTGTATATTATATTGTAAAAATTCCCTTCCCTCTTCCCTCACCCAACCTCCTATGTTTTCCCATGCAACCATCTGTCTATGTCACATATGCATACTCTCAGATATACCTTCTCTGAAGAACACAGGATCCCTCTCCCCCCTCCATTCTCCTAATCCCAATCCTTTCCTCAGCTCTCCCCTTTCACCTCCCCTTTCCCTTTTATCATTTGTGGACATTCAGCAGCAGGTAAGCAATCCACTGTGGGATGCCAAAGTGGCAAAACCATTGAGCCATGAATTGCCCTTATCTAGTGTCCATCTCTTCCAACAACACATATTTAAGTTCTGCCCTGGGGATATGGCTGAGCACTCAGCTAACACTTTGGTCCTGGGACCAATAACAGGAGATTGTGTTGGGCTGGCAGCAACAAGCACAGGCTGCATGACACCCTCATGTCAGCTCTGGGTGTAATCTCCTGTGCACTTTGGAGGCAGAAATCACCTTAACACCCAGTGACAGGAGAGGGCTTGGCCGACTTGAGAAAAAAGTACTTTGGATGTTGTTTTCGGCAAGTATTTGGGTAATGGCAGCTAACAATAGCAGATAGCCTTCTGCCCTGTCTCTCTGAGTTTGGCGTAGTAGGTGTCCACAAAATCTGCATTCTATATCTCTTCAAGGCTTATTGTAGGACAGATAAACCTTTGGAGTGATTCACTGACCAATACTGCTGATGATGCTTCATTGTATTCTGACTGTGCTGTGAGTTCCCTGCTCACTTTAATCCTCTAACTTGAACAGCTGTGGATTTTTTTAGATTTGTGGTGTTATTGTTGTTTTTTAATGGAGATGAAATCTGCAACACTGCTTTTTGCCTCAAGGCACTTCCTTGAAACTTACATAGTTGTATACCTGTAGTGTTTTGTCTATTTGTGCACCTAAGGGCCTTAAAAATATTTCCTTTTCTATTATTCCTCTGTTCTTTTGCCCAACTATGGGGAAGTCCATGGGAAAGACTTAATTCTGTTTTGCTGGAGTTGGTACAGCTTCTTTTTATCCTGCTTAGAGGGCATTCAGATTTTTCAGCAAGTGCCTTTTCCTTCTTCTGCATGAATGATGCACAAGTACACCCTACTACTAATAAACCTCTGTGAAGAAACCAACCTTGGAGACCGTACATCCATACATAAAGTTAACCTTTTAATGTCCTTCAGGGTGGGGCACAGAAGCCAAAACTACATATTGACAGAAGTGAGTTAAAATGTTTCAGTTCACAGGATTGACCCAGCATAGAGCAAAGATCTAGACACCAGACAGTCAAGTTGTATTGCCACCCAGCCTGCATGTGGGAAGAACATTACAAGCAGATTGAGGGGGCCCTCGTAATGGGGTGGGGACATGGAGTTTATGAATCACGGTTTCACTAGTGATATAGACAGACAGACAGGAGAAGCTAATGGGGTGATTCACAGAGAGGTTTTTCAAGATGATATTGCTCAGTAATTGCCCATTCTGAGTCAATAAGAACAAATGTCATGGTCTGAACCTGTAGGTAATAAACTTTCATTTTAAGTTGCCAAGGACATATGTTGATCTTTATTTGTGAATCAGCATAACAGAATGAATCTTGAGCATTGGAAAGAACACTGCTTGTTAATACATCACTAAATTGAATTACCATGTGTGGAATCTCTATGTTAATTCCACAATGAACTGATTTCAGAGATGCAGCTCCTTAGGGTTATGTTATGTTGTTATGTTATAATTTCCTTCTTAGTAATTAATTATAATCTACTTTTCAAATATTTTTTTCAGAGCATGTGGAAAGTGGTTACATTTTAGTGGTATGCTTACAGAACCATTTCCTTCTCTTTTTTCAATATTCTTCATCTGGTCTTATCTTAATATATTTAACTGACATTAAGGCTGGATAAATGCAACATTTTCTTATAGGATTGTGGAGACTGAGCATATATTTTTGCCCCTAAAAAGCACTTCTTGAGAAAGTGGTTTCATTCTGAAAATAAACACTCATTGCAGATATAACCTTAGTATTTGTGAGCTGCTTGGGTCTTCATTGGATAAATTTATTCAATAGCTGGTGGCACTGAATTTTAAGGAGAGCTCCTTAGAAGCACAAGTGCTCTTACCACACAAAAAGGAAAGTGTATTTGGCACATTTCACAGCTGATTAGCAGATTCTGCAGCAGACCTTGCTAAGTCGGTACACATAAGCACATTTCTCTTTTTTGTGGGGACATTTGACTTTAGGTTCTCATATTGCTGAAATTATTGTCTGTAAAATTAAAAAAAATGTTTTCAAGCAAATAATATTTTAGATACTGTGACCTGGTGTTTGGGTCTGCTAAATATTGAGCACACGTGCAGAATCTTGATTTACTTCTGGGGGAAATGAATTATTTGTGATACATATGAGCTCCTTGTGTTTATGGATTATGGCAACATCACCGCTTGCAATATATAATGAAACAGGTCCTTTTATATTGGTGAAGAAAGTCAGAATAGAGCTCTGCCTTGAGAGGCAAGCACATAAGGGCATGTTGCCACCCACTCAATAAGACAGTATGTGCAATTGGGCTATATACTGGCTAATTTGCGTGGACCCTAATGGACAAAATATGAATGACATTTGAACAATACCAAGGATGTTTAGGGCATATATCAAGTATTCCTATTTTACAAGTGCAAGAATCTGGACTTTACAGGGTTTTGTACAATATTCATGTAAATATTAACATTAAATATTAAATATTACTATAGTTTTATAAATAGCTTGGGGAGGGAAAGAAATCCACTTTTGGGTAGTCACTAAGGAATACTTAGCTGCTTCACATTTATCTTGGTGATCTTTTTTATTATATATTTTTTTAAAGAACTAGAATAAAATACTGTTCCTACAGCTTCTTGGTTCAGTGTCTTGAATAAAAAATCCAGAAAGGCTCCTGTCAAAATTTTATTGTAATGACTTTAAATACTGGACACACATACACATATGTTGTGGATAAAAGTACCAAATTGTAAAAGTAAAGTGAAATAAAGGTATTAAATAACTCAACCATAAGAAAGAAGTGCTGTTGCTTTTGCGCCAGTCTTCAGTATGTAGACTTGGATTAAAAGGAGGCCCTCTTTTTATTACAGTTGGCAAGTGCCACAAAAATTATATACGATCAAATGAATTATCGTTAAGACTGTTCTGTGTTTGCTACTGCATGCATTTATAACATAACACCATTTTGCTACCATACTTTTAAAAAATATATATGATTTTTTTTTATCCACAGGTTTGCAACAATGGCGGACAAACTACAGAATGCCATATTGCAGTGAAGCTCAACCCAACATCATGACTCCAGAGTATTGGTGAGGAAATGTTTCAGAAACTTGAATCTTTTTGTTTATTTAATGTCAGAGAGCTTGTGTCACATTTTGCACAAAGATTTAAACTAATATGTTTTTATTTATATTCATAATCTTTGCACTTACTGAGAGCCAAATGGGATGTAATGTGGCAGTCACAGGTTATGCACACATCTGTCCACTTCTTAAAATGGAAGGGTAGTTAGGGTTTTTCAAGAAAACCTCTATATGGGTGACTTGAGACAAACCTTTCCACCCCTCTGTCTTACTCATTGCTCAAATGATGAACCACGTTTGTTTTCAGGCCGACTGATTTCTCATGACTGAGCCAGGTTGGCAGAAACATGCCAGGTCACAGCATAGAAACATATCATAAGTCAAATGGAGGTAAAGGGAGCTCAGTTTCCTTCCTTCAAGTCCATATGGATATATCAGTGTTAAATATTATAGCCCAATCTCACCTGACCACTTCGCTAGGAATGAGGCAGATGCACTGGGACATGAGCAGCCAGAATGGCTGGTCCTTCTTGTGTCCAGTTTGTTCCTTGTCCCTGTCTATTATCAAACATTTTTTTTAAAAAGCGCCAAACAAACCCTGTTGATTAATATTCTGGGGCTTAAACTGAGTGAATCTGCATACAGTGGTACCTCAGGTTGCAGACGCTTCAGGTTACAGACGCTTCAGGTTACAGACTCTGCTAACTCAGAAATAGTACCTCGGGTTAAGAACTTTGCTTCAGGATGAGAACAGAAATTGTGTGGTGGCAGCGGGAGGCCCTATTAGCTAAAGTGGTACCTCAGGTTAAGAACGGACCTCCAGAACGAATTAAATTCTTAACCCGAGGTACCGCTGTATTTCCAAAACTTTAATATAGGCATAGAGAAAGGGATGACAGTGTTCTTTTTAATCTCAGCTGCTCTGAAGGCTGCTTCAAATATTTAAAGTAAATGGGAAGAGGAGGATCAAATTTTAGTCACACTTGTGCTAGGGGCTCACAGGCAAAGGGGGAAATGATCATCATCATATCCCACTGTGTTTCATCAAGGAATCCAAAGCCATCACCCATCCAAGCATTGAGCAGCAGACCTAGAAGTGCTTAGCTTCAGCAAGGTAGTGCCTTCAGATCATGCCATGGGAGAACATGAATATTCCTTGAAGAGGAGATACACACTTTGTTCTTGTACTGGGAAATGCAAATCCTTCCCTTCCCTTTTGCGTCAGATTAGACCCAGATGTAATCGGTAGAAGACTCTCCTTCCTTTGTAATCAGAGGTTAGATGGCCACCTGTCATGTATGATCTTGTTGAGATTTCTGCATTGCAAGGGCTTGGACTAGATGACTTTCGGGGTCCCTTCTAACTCTACAATTCTATGATGCTATGATAAATATGAGTTACAATTGCTCCCTCTATCGTTGATTCTTTTTGAACTAAACTGAATAGCTTCTATTGGGCTTTTGCTGCTTCTTGTGATTGCCTGTAGTGATTGAGATGAATGAAGGAACAGTTTTTCTTATCTTCCATTAAAGCTTTAGTTGATGGTATCCAAAATAGAATACTAAATTAATGGTAAAAACTCTCACACACCTCACCCAATATACACCAATCCAGTGTTTGTGGCTGGAGACAGGATCGTTTATTTGGTCCATGAAGATTTCTCAGCAGATATTTAATTATTCTCTAAAATGTAAAAGAATGCCAGAGCTTTGCTTGGCAAAATTATGCTATCGGGAACAATGAAGATTTAGTCCATTGATGGATAAATCCTGGTATCAAAATATGACATATTTATTTCAGAAATTTGACAACCTACGCAATTATTTTTTCCCCGAAGGGGATATTGCTTTAGCCAAGAAAGATTTTAAATTGTGTAGAAATGATGTGTTTATGCAGGAAAATTTTGCATCTCTTTATACCTCCGGTATAAATATAAACCAGATCCAGGGGATTGCTTATTTAAAATTAGTACACTTTGATGAAGGAACTCACTCTTGCATGGTTGCAATTAATGCCTTCTACATTTCTTGATATTAGCAAAGATACCATACAATCTAAGTTTCTACCACTGGTCAATAGGACAGAAAATAGGTTTCCTGTAAAGATATTAATACAGGCATCCCCACATTTACATATTTTTGGATACAGTATTTTTTGCATGGATTGAAGAGAGAGCGGCAGAGAGGGTGTTTAAGGGGTGTTTACAGGGTGCTCCCACTTTACACAATTTTTACAGGGTGCTCCCCACTTTATGCATTTAGGGGCCCAGAACATATAACACTCCATAAGTGGGAGCCCCAGTATACTGGGGCACAAGCCAAAGTTTACATTGCAAATGTGAACTATCACAGAATTGATTGTCTCTATTTCCTCAATCTTATTTTTGTATATTTAATTATGGACAGCAGTTACCTACAAAACTACAGCTAGAAACCAGTATGATGGAAATTTAAATCTAGTTAAATGACTGGTAGAGCTAATTATGACATTTGAAGGGTCAGCTACCAGGTTTTAATTAGTTTGTTTTTATTTATGCTTCGTTTATTTATTTAAGCTTTGTTTTTCATGCGATTTGCTGCATTGTGTCTATCCCTCTGTTTTATTGTTTTATATTGGGGTTGTTATGGTTTTAAGCAATGCATATGAATTATTTATTATTTTTCATTCATATATATATATATATATATATGCTTTCGTAGATTTTCACGGGTACAGGAATGCAGGTTTTGGTGTCCTCGGGTGTCTTCCCGTGTAAAAGTTGGGGTGTCTAGGCGACGTTTCGACGAGGTCTCACTCGTCATCTTCAGGCTGGTGCTTTCGGCTTCTTGTTACTGGAACCATATATATATATATATGAAAGAGACGATTATGCATTGTAGCCCTAGCTTATATTTTAAAACGAGCTTTTTAGTTACACGTAAAATCTATTTTGTACATTTTTGGAAGAAAAATGTCACATGTTAGAAAAAGGAATGTTTTGTTTGTTGTTAAGAAGGCTGCCGGAGGGCAATCTGGTAATCCTATAGGCACAACTGACAAGTGTGCTCAGTTGCTGGGAATTTGCACAGGAACTTTTCTTATTTGCCTAAATTACATTTTAGAGGGCAATTTATTACGTCTAGACCACTTGAATGCATATTGATAAGTTCTGCTTAATATTGCACACTTGAGAGCCTTACTCTACTGGTAAGATGCGGGTCTATGTCATAAGTTACTTCCTCTGTTACACTTAAGTCAAAGCTTTACTAAAGGATGAGGATCAGGTGGCTGTTAGATTATCTTGCTTTTAATAGCAGCTGACTATCATTTGAAACAAGAACTCTATCCTTCATAGCTGATCTGTGCTGGATGTTTTACCCACCAAGTTGGCAAGTAATGGTTATAGTTTATCTAGAGACCATTTCCACCAGTTCATCCCACACTCCCAACATTTCATTGCACCCTGAGGTGGCCAAAAAGCCAGAGCAAGCCCTGGTTGGAGTATTTATGAATTTTGCTGAATTTCTTAGGGGACAAATTAAATGGATTAACTGTGAGAGGACGCAGAAGGCTTAGCCCCTACCTTAATGGTGCTCCAAATACATATTTGGCTTTCTCCCACACAAGTGAATAGTTACCATTCATTCCTATAGGGGACATAGTGTTGCAGTTGGGGACACAAAGCGTAATTTAGTCCAACCCTCTACGATGTAGGAATCTTTTGCCCAACTTAGGACTTGAACCCAGGACCCAGAGATTAAGAGTCTCACGCTGTACTGACTGAGCTATCCACAATGCATATCCAGTGCTTCTCTATGTGTGTGTGTGTTCATTCATTTGTGTACTTGTGCACATGCATGCACACCTGCACGCAGACACACATGGCACCAGTGGCGAAGCTTCATGCTCCGGCATGGGGGGCAGAAAGCAGGCACGGGCGGGGCTGGCACGCATCTTGGGGGCAGGGGGCAGCCGCAATGGCACCCTGCCGGGATCGTGCTGCTCCCCCCGCACTCCTCTTCCTCTGCCAGTGCATGGCACACCAAAGCAGGTTGAATTAAGCACAATTGCAATGAACATTTCAGGGAGGGGAAGGAGTGTTTATTTTGACCTCTCTAGGGGCCATTATTTGCTTCAGAGGAATGTGGGGTTAGTGACAGGTTTGGCCCCTTCCTAAACTGATGGCAGGAGAAATAGGAAAACACAATGGACCAAGGTTTTGCCCAGTTATCTTCTCTATGTGATGGAATCATGGGAAAAAGCTGTCCCATGAGCCTTTGCTGCAAAGAGTAGGGGAAAGCCTTTATAAGGCTGCTTTCCTTGGAGCTCACAGCCATTTTGCTTTGAGAGCTTATCAGGTTAGAGCCTTCACTGAGCAATTTTGGGTCGCTGGGTGACAGGGCCAGAAAGGATTCTTTCCTCTCTCAACCTGATTGGCACTTGGTTGGGTGTCCCCCCCCCCCGCCTTTCTCTCAGTAAAATTATGGTTTTCCTTTGTTGGGTGGAAGAACATTGTATGAGGGTGGAAATGGCAGGATCAACATAGTATAGGGGGCTGCCATAAGGGGCCTGAGGGGAGGATTGATAAACCCAAGCATGCGTTTGGTATCTGCCTGGTTGGAATCTGTACCCTGGTCCCCCAGTGAAACCTTGCTTGCTTGACTTGCACCACAGCACGGTTCGACACTGGCCAACTCCCGTTGTTCAGGTTTGGAGTGATCCAAACCCAGCAGACCCATTCCATCAACATGGGGCTTGTGGAATGCTGAACTGGTTTTGGGACCCAATGCCATTCCAACCCTTCCCCCGCCTGCTGCTGTCAGTAAAGATTTGGCCTGATTTTATCCCATCACTGTTGTACGGTCTGGTTATTTTGCCGCTCTCATGGGTCACATAATGCAGTTACGTGGGCAAGTGAATTCTTATTATATCTATATACTTAGTGATACTAAATGAGTGACCTTCAAATATTAACACCAAAATAAATCTGTATCGTATCTGTAACAATGATCAGTGTTGCCACTCTT